CCCAGACCCGCGCCAGCCCCCTCCCCGGACCCCTCGGGACGCCCCCAGCCCCCCAGTCCGCCCCCACCCAGTCTGTGCCCTAGGTCCCTCGTCTTTTCGCCGGCTGCTTCGCATCCCGCGCACTGGTCTTCCGCTTCTGCTGCCGCCGCCCCCGCCCCCTCCCCGCCCCCTCCGCCCCCCTCCTCTCCTCCTCCTCTCCTCCTCCTCCTCGGCTGCTGCCGTCCCCTCTGTCCCCAGCTTTCCCACTGGGCCTCTCCAGACGGCCCCTCACCCTGGCTGTTCCGTCTTCCGTTGGCCCTCCCTCCTCCAGCAGTTCATGTGCCATCCCTGCCGACCTCTCTGGGTCCGGGTCCGGTCAGAGATCCTAGGGTCCAGAGGGGTGACCCCGCTGGCGCCCAAGTCCCTTTGGGCCCCTGCCCCGGCTGGAACTGCCCGACCTCTCCCCAGCCCTTGCAGCCCCCGATTCCTGGGGTGGGGAGTGCTCAGAGCCGCTGTGATTCTGCAGCCAGGGCTTTGGCACCTGGGTTTCCTGACGGGGGCCTGTGAGCTGCGGTGGGGTCCCCTCGGCTGGGGAAGCCGAGCCCCGCTTCATTGCTGCGCCCTCATACTGCAGAGTGTCCCTCAGGCCCCCCAGGTGAAAGCGTTTTTCGGTGCTGGGCCAGTGTGTCTCCATTTCTAATCACCCACACCATGTTCCATGTAATAATGTTCAAGGACAAGGAAACAGTCTGTGTTTTAATTTTGTTTTCCCTATCATGGGCCCCTCCCCCATGCACACTTGGCCCGGCTCTGCACAGTTATTCACCCACCCAGAGTGAGCAGTGCGCCCTGCAAGTTGGCTGACCAAGGGAATGGACAGTCTTGGGTTTCTCTCTACCCTCTTCCCTCTGCTCCCTCCCATCTTTGAAACAAGCTGGGGCAGGGTCAAAGGTGAGGGGTGGGTGGGTTTTGCAAATAGAGGGCCCTTCTTTGGATTCGGCGCTGTCTTCCCAGACTAGGAGTGGGTGACTCTGAGGAAGGCTGTGCCCGTTGCCGTTTGGAGGGGGTTAGATTTTCATGTCAGGGGCTCTGTGCGTACCACGTGTTAGGAAACATCCCCCTTCCTTTGGAACTAGAGGGAGGAGCACTCTGTCCCCCAGGCTGGAGAGCCTGGGGTGGGGGTGGGGGTGTTGTGGGTGGGATGGTGCTTCAGGAGCCAGGATGAGAACTGAGGAGGTGGTGGAGTGTCTGAAGAGCAGGTGACAGTACTGGGCCCTGTGGGAGTGAGGAATGGTCTGGGGAGAGGAGGAGGTGGTTACCAAGGATGTTAGCTCATTGGTGACACCGAATGGAATCGTGTTCATAATGGCCAACATTTATTGGGCACGTATTATGTGCTAGGCATTATGCTAAGCAGTTTGCATGCATCTTTTCCCCCGTAAGTCTCCCAACAGTCACACTAACTCCACTTTTCACCGGGGGAAACCGAGGCTTAGAGCAGTAAGCACGGTGCCTGAGGCCACACAGCTAGAAAGGGGTAGACCCACCCAGCATTGAATCAGACCCCAATCCCCCTCCTGGTTCAGACTTAGAGGAGGGACACCCAGTGACTTCTATAGGGCTGTGCTACTGGGTTTAAAATTTTCTTCTGCCCCTCAAAACCCCTCAGGCCAATCCTAGGCCAGCGAGGGCCACCCAAGTATCAGCAGTGCCTAGGCTGTGGCTGTCCTACCCTGACTGTCCTAGAAGGGGAAACCCCAGGAGTCTTCCCCCCCCTCCCCCAGGCCACCCCACCACCGGATGTTCTCAAGCCCTGTCCCATTCTCCCAGCCCAGCCTGGGCCGGCTCCTCCTTCCTCTTGGCACGGCTCTGGAAATCCAGTGGGAGGCCATTGCTATGGCAACAGGACTAGGCCCTGGCTTTTACCTCATCAAATTCCGTGCCGAAGCCAAAGCAATTGAGAAATTAAAGAAAAAAATGTATTCCAGATGTTTACTTCTTATTCCTTATTTTTCCGTGTTTGGATGAGACGGCTCTGAGGGAGGCGGGATTGGGGCAGGGATGTGGACGGAGGAGGAGGAAGGGGGGAGAGGGAACCACTCCCAGCTGCAGGAGGGAGGGAGGGAAGGAGGGTGAGCGGGAAAGGGAAGGCAGGCTGTGGGGTGGAGCCCCAGGTCGGGGAGGAGCGGGTTTTTCCCGTCTCCCCTGAAGTGATTCACGAAGAGGCTTCAGACTCTGGGGCCCTCTTGCTCTGCCCCTGAGTAGATATCTCGAGCGGGCTGCGGCACCCAAGGGGGGCCCTGGGAACAGTAAGTGGGGTGTCTCGGAGAGCTCAGCAGGGGAGGGAAGAGTAGGTAGCTCCCTGAAGCTCCAGGACTTTGTGGTTAGGAGACCAGAGTTAGAGCGTGATCTGGGAAGAGTTGAGGATAGACTGCTGGGGACCTCCCTTGACCTCCCACCGGCTCTGAAGTTCCCTCTTCCTGTCCCACACTCTGCCTCTGCTAGAAGTAGCAGGCTTCCCTTGGCCAAGCCTACTGCCAACGCCCAACCCTCTCGCCTTCTCCCTCTTATTTCCCAGGTCTTTGGCTGCCCCTACTCACACCCTCCGCTTCTCAATTCTCATGCAGGTTCTGCCGAATGTGATGAAAGTGTCTGTTCTCAGGGAAGGCACAGCCATGGCTTCCCCACCACCCCGGGAGATGGAGGAGGAGCTGGTATCTGCTGGCTCTGAGCCAGGTAGGTGCCTGTGGGTGCAGGGTGGAGCCGGGTGGCTGGGAGGGCAGTGAGAGGGGTGGAGGCTGAGCCCGCATTCTGTCCTGGAAGGGGTGGGGGAGTGATGATTCTGTTGAGGTGGGAGGGAGGAGTGCAGGATGAGTTTGAAAGGTTCTCAGTTCCTGGTAAGACCCTTTAGAACAGTTAGAGGTCTTAGATCTACAGCAGATAAGAACAAGCTACCTTCCAAATGAAGTGGGTAATGCGAGTGTTTTGCGAGGAGGAGGCGGGGGCCTAGGTGAGAAATGACGTGTACCTATAGGGATTTGAACCCAGGCCTCCTGGCTCCTGTCTAGACTCCTTTCTTAGGCTGAGCCGAATGAGTGGATGACAGAGGTTTCTGTTAGGAGGGCCACGGCCATGAGTAACCCCAAGGTCTTTTATTTGGCTTTGGAATGCCTTATATAGAAGGTAGGTTCCTAATCATGTTTTCTTTTCCTGCGGCAGATTTACTTCTGGGTGGGTTAGGTCAATAATAAGTTTGCATTCCTCATCACACACCTGGGGAGGTGGCCTGGGTGTGTCCTGGGGGAGGGACAGCCAGGAGGCAGAGTAGGGAGGTTCAGCTGGGATAAAAGGTTTGCTGTGGATGGTAGGAGGGTAGAGTGTCATGTAAGAGGATAGGACTAGATTGGAGAAATGTTGGGCTGAGGGCTTGATTATGGGTAGGTAGCATTCGTTTATTGGCTCCTTTGCTCATTCATTCATTCATTCATTCAATAAGAACGTGTTAGATGCAGAGTAGGGTACAGGGACAAATAAGGTGTCAGC